TATTGTCAAAAACTGAAAAAAAAGACGCCACTTTTTGGCGCTCCGCTGCTCAAACAACGTTTCACTGATCAAAATTCCCTGAAGTCATTTTGATGGTACATGTGTTGAGATGATGTGGAAAGATTTTGAGGCGAATCGGTGAAACGGCCGAGGCTGGTTTGATGTTTGTGTGAGGTGTATATTTGCAATGAATGTTGAGCGTTTGTCGTCGCTACGGCAACAGGGTAAAAAATAAGCCTTGGACCCTTTTGACTTTTTGAATCAAGAGGGCAAAACAGATTTATGTGCAAAATTTCAAACATTTTGAAAAAACTAAATTTGAAAATGCCCATATAAAACTTTGAAATAGTCTGTAGGGGGCGCTAATGTGTCAATTTGAATCATTTAACTTTCAAATGACCTAGACCCTAGAGTTGAACCATGGATTCAAGTTTTGTGCAAATCAGACTTTCTTTGTGCAAACGGAAGCAATTTTTCTATTGTCAAAAACTGAAAAAAAAACACGCCACTTTTTGGCGCTCCGCTGCTCGAACAACGTTTCACTGATCAAAATTCCCTGAAGTCATTTTGATGGTACATGTGTTGAGATGATGTGGAGCGATTTTGTGGCGAATCGGTGAAACGGCCGAGGCTGGTTTGATGTTTGTGTGAGGTGTATATTTGCAATGAATGTTGAGCATTTGTCGTCGCCACGGCAACAGGGTAAAAAATAAGCCTTGGACCCTATTGACTTTTTGAATCAAGAGGGCAAACAGATTTATGTGCAAAATTTCAAACATTTTGAAAAAACTAAATTTGAAAAGGGCCATCTAAAACTTTGAAATAGTCTGTAGGGGGCGCTAATGTGTCAATTTGAATCATTTAACTTTCAAATGACCTAGACCCTAGAGCTGAACAATGTATTAAAGTTTTGTGCAAATCAGACTTTGTTTGTGCAAACGGGAGCAAATTTTATGTTGTCATAAACGGCCAAAAAAAGGTCACATTTTGCCGCTCCGCTGCTCAAACAATGTTTCACTGATCAAAAATCCCTGAGGTCATTTTGAAGGTAAATGTGTTGACATGATTTGTAACAATTTTGTGGCCAATCAGTAAAACGGCCGAGGAGGAGTCGCTTTCCAACCGACATGTATGAAAATGATTGGTTTTCATTTTTCCATTTTGCAATGAAATTTATGGGCTTCCTGTTTGTCAGAGGGCTTAGCCATAATAATATTTTTTCCATGTCTTGACTTGAGGAACATGTGTTCCAAATTACATGGTTCTACGACAATTTTGACCTTGAACCCCTCCCATAGGCATTTTTAAAATGGCTGTTGTAGGTGGCGCTATAGAGCCAATGTCAAAATGTAAACTTTCAAATGACCTAAACCCAAGAGTTGAACCATGGATTCAAGTTTTGTGCAAATCAGACTTTGTTCGTGCAAACGGAAGCAATTTTTCTATTGTCAAAAACTGAAGAAAAATACGCCACTTTTTGGCGCTCCGCTGCTCGAACAACGTTTCACTGATCAAAATTCGCTGAAGTCATTTTGATGGTACATGTGTTGAGAGGATGTGGAGCGATTTTGAGGCGAATCGGTGAAACGGCCGAGGCTGGTTTGATGTTTGTGTGAAGTGTACATTTGCAATGAATGGAGAGCGTTTCTCGTCGCCACGGCAACAGGGTAAAAAATAAGCCTTGGACCCAATTGACTTTTTGAATCAAGAGGGCAAAACAGATTTATGTGCAAAATTTCAAACATTTTGAAAAAACTAAATTTGAAAATGCCCATCTAAAACTTTGAAATAGTCTGTAGGGGGCGCTAATGTGTCAATTTGAATCATTTAACTTTCAAATGACCTAGACCCTAGAGCTGAACAATGTATTAAAGTTTTGTGCAAATCAGACTTTGTTTGTGCAAACGGGAGCAAATTTAATGTTGTCAAAAACGGCCAAAAAATAGGCCACATTTTGCCGCTCCGCTGCTCGAACAATGTTTCACTGATCAAAAATCCCTGAGGTCATTTTGAAGGTACATGTGTTGAGATGATGTGGAGCGATTTTGAGGCGAATCGGTGAAACGGCCGAGGCTGGTTTGATGTTTGTGTGAGGTGTACATTTGCAATGAATGGGGAGCGTTTGTCGTCGCCACGGCAACAGGGTAAAAAATAAGCCTTGGACCCAATTGACTTTTTGAATCAAAAGGGCAAAACAGATGTATGTGCAAAATTTCAAACATTTTGAAAAAACTAAATTTGAAAATGCCCATTTAAAACTTTGAAATAGTCTGTAGGGGGCGCTAATGTGTCAATTTGAATCATTTAACTTTCAAATGACCTAGACCCTAGAGTTGAACAATGTATTAAAGTTTTGTGAAAATCAGACTTTGTTTGTGCAAACGGGAGCAAATTTAATGTTGTCAAAAACGGCCAAAAAAACCCTCACATTTTGCCGCTCCGCTGCTCAAACAATGTTTCACTGATCAAAAATCCCTGAGGTCATTTTGAAGGTACATGTGTTGAGATGATGTGGAGCGATTTTGAGGCGAATCGGTGAAACGGCCGAGGAGGAGTCGCTTTCCAACCGACATGTATGAAAACTTTTGCTGTTCATTTTTCCATTTTGCAGTGAAATTAATGGGCTTCCTGTTTGTCAGAGGGCGGAGCCATAATAATATTTTTTTCTTGTCTTGACTTGAGGAACATGTGTACCAAATTTCATGTTTCTACGACAAACTTGACCTCCGAAAAGTCCCATAGGGGTATTATTTTGGCTGTTGTAGGTGGCGCTGTTCTGTCATTTTTTGAGTCCCATAAAAATAAACACCAAAATATCAAATTTTTCGCCAGGTCTGATTTTTGGGCCAAAATTAACAACTTTTCATGCATGTTCAGGGGGTCAAATTAAGGCTCAAAGTGCAGAAGAAAAAAGAAAGAAAGAAAGAAATAAATAAATAAATTAAAGCCGCAAGCGGCGTCGAACGGCCCTCGCCGCACCGCGCGACTCCCTGCACCGCGCGCACTCCCCGCACCACGCCGCCCCGCACCACGCCGCCCTGCACCACGCCGTCCCGCACCACGCCGTCCCGCACCACGCCGTCCCGCACCACGCCGTCCCGCATCACGCCGCCCCGCACCAAGCCGCAACGCGCCGCTCCACAACGCCCCGCACTACGCCGTACCACACCGTACCACGCATCACCGCTCAAAGGAGGTGGCGCCGCCGTGTGATGATTTGTTCCCGTAGCCATAGAAGATTGTTAGTCAAATTGTAATGAATATGATAAGTAGAGCTGGTTTGGCTCCCCATGTAAACTTTGACTCAGTCTTTAGGGGGCGCTAATGGGCCAATTTCAAATATTTCACTTTCACCTGACCTAAACCCTGGAGTTGAACAATGGATTCAAGTTTAATGCAAATCAGTCTTTGTTTGTGCAAACGGGAAAAAATTTATGTTGTCAAAAACAGCCAAAAAAACCCTCACATTTTGCCGTTCCGCTGCTCAAACAACGTTTGACTGATAAAATTCCCTGAAGTCATTTTGAAGGTAAATGTGTTGAGATGATTTGGAACAATTTTGAGGCCAATCGGTGAAACGGCCGAGGAGGAGTCGCTTTCCAACCGACGGGTATGAAAATGATTGGTTTTCATGTTTCCATTTTGCAATGAAATTTATGGGCTTCCTGTTTGTCAGGGGCTTAGCCATAATAACATTTTTCCATGTCTTGACTTGAGGAACATGTGTTCCAAATTACATGGTTCTACGACAATTTTGACCTCAAACCCCTCCCATAGGCATTTTTAAATGGCTGTTGTAGGTGGCGCTATAGAGCCAATTTCAAAATTTTAACTTTCAAATGACCTAGACCCAAGAGTTGAACCATGGATTCAAGTTTTGTGCCAATCACACTTTGTTTGTGCAAACGGAAGCAATTTTTCTATTGTCAAAAACTAAAAAAAATTACGCCACTTTTTGGCGCTCCGCTGCTCAAACAACGTTTCACTGATCAAAATTCCCTGAAGTCATTTTGATGGTACATGTGTTGAGATGATGTGGAGCGATTTTGAGGCGAATCGGTGAAACGGCCGAGGCTGGTTTGATGTTTGTGTGAGGTGTACATTTGCAATGAATGGGGAGCGTTTGTCGTCGCCACGGCAACAGGGTAAAAAATAAGCCTTGGACCCAATTGACTTTTTGAATCAAGAGGGCAAAACAGATGTATGTGCAAAATTTCAAACATTTTGAAAAAACTAAATTTGAAAATGCCCATTTAAAACTTTGAAATAGTCTGTAGGGGGCGCTAATGTGTCAATTTGAATCATTTAACTTTCAAATGACCTAGACCCTAGAGTTGAACAATGTATTAAAGTTTTGTGAAAATCAGACTTTGTTTGTGCAAACGGGAGCAAATTTAATGTTGTCAAAAACGGCCAAAAAAAGGTCACATTTTGCCGCTCCGCTGCTCGAACAATGTTTCACTGATCAAAAATCCCCGAGGTCATTTTGAAGGTACATGTGTTGAGATGATGTGGAGCGATTTTGAGGCGAATCGGTGAAACGGCCGAGGAGGAGTCGCTTTCCAACCGACATGTATGAAAACTTTTGCTGTTCATTTTTCCATTTTGCAGTGACATTTATGGGCTTCCTGTTTGTCAGAGGGCGGGGCCATAATAATATTTTTTTCTTGTCTTGACTTGAGGAACATGTGTACCGAATTTCATGACTCTACAACAAACTTGATCTTCAGAACTCCCATAGGGGTATTATTTTGGCTGTTGTAGGTGGCGCTGTTCTGGCATTTTTTGAGTCCCATAAAAATAAACACCAAAATATCAAATTTTTCGCCAGGTCTGATTTTTGGGCAAAATTTAACAACTTTTCATGCATGTTCAGGGGGTCAAATTAAGGCTCAAAGTGCAGAAGAAAAAAGAAAGAAAGAAAGAAAGAAAGAAAGAAATAAATAAATAAAAAAGGAATTTTTTTTTCGACGTCTCGAGCAAAAACAATATAGGTTTCAATGGCACGTGATACATAATTTTAAAGCTTTTGAGTTTACGCACGCAACCGTCACGTTTTGGTGAGTGACGGGCGCTGACGCGTCCGTCACGCACCGCCACCATTTGTTTTCACCATTGTGAAAGCAATAGGCCCTTACCCCGTTCGGGGCTCGGGCCTAATTAAAGCCGCAAGCGGCGTCGAACGGCCCTCGCCGCACCGCGCGACCCCCCGCTCCGCTACGAGTACCCGCTCCGCTGCGACTCCCCGCTCCGCTGCGACACCCCGCACCGCGCTCCGCTACGACTCCCCGCTCCGCTGCGACACCCCGCACCGCTACGACTCCCCGCACCGCGCTCCGCTACGACTCCCCGCACCGCGCTCCGCTACGACTCCCCGCTCCGCTACGACCCCGCTCCGCTACGACTCCCGCTCCGCTACGACTCCCCGCTCCGCTACGACTCCCCCCGCTCCGCTACGACTCCCCGCACCGCGCTCGCCCCGCTACGACTCCCCGCACCGCGCTCCGCTACGACACCGCGCTCCGCTACGACTCCCCGCTCCGCTACAACTCCCCGCACCGCTACGACTCCCCGCACCGCTACGACTCCCCGCACCGCTACGACTCCCCGCACCGCTACGACTCCCCGCACCGCTACGACTCCCCGCACCGCTACGACTCCCCGCACCGCTACGACTCCCCGCACCGCTACGACTCCCCGCAACGCGCGCCGCTACGACTGCCCGCTCCGCTACGACTGCCCGCTCCGCTACGACTCCCCGCTCCGCTACGACTTCCCGCTCCGCTACGACGCTCCGCTACGACTTCCCGCTCCGCTACGACTCCCCGCTCCGCTACGACTTCCCGCTCCGCTACAACTTCCCGCACTGCGTGCCACTACGACTCCCCGCACCACTACGACTCCGTGCACAGCTACAACTCCCCGCACCGCGCAACTCGCCTCAACTCGCGATTTCCCTCCCTGTGACTCCCCGCGTGACTCGCCGCTCCGCAGGTGGCGCCGCCGCGCCATGATTTGCTATCGTAGCCATAGAACAATGTTTGTGAAATTGATCCGTCGGTGTGGCTCCCCATGTAAAGCTTTAGCTCGGTATGTAGGGGGCGCTAAAGAGCCAATGTAATATTGTACACACTTTCAGGTGACCCAGGCCCAGGAGTAGAACAATCGGGTCAAGTTAAGTACAAATCAAACTTTGTTTGTTCAAACGAGAGCTATTTTTACATAGCCAAAAAAGGTCATTATTTGCCGCTCCGATGCTCGAACAATGTTTCACTGATAAAAATTACCTGAAGTCATTTTGAAGGTACATGTGTTGAGACGATCTGGAGCGATTTTCAGGCAAATCTGTGAAACGGTCGAGGAGGAGTTGCTTTCCAAACGACATGTGTGAAAATGATTGCTGTTCATTTATCCATTTTGCAGTGAAATTTATGGGCTCCCTGTTTGTCAGAGGGCGGGGCCATAATAAAACTAATTTCATGTCTTACCTTGTGGAATATGTGTACCAAATTTCATGGCTCTACAACAAACTTGACCTCAAAAACTCTCATAGGAGTATATAATTGGCTGTTGTAGGGGGCGCTGTTCTGGCAATTGAATTATTTCACATTCAAATGACCTACACCCTAGAGTTTAACCATGGAAACAAGTTTTGTGCAAATCGGACTGTGTTTGAGTAAACGGAAGTAATTTTTCTATTGTCAAAAACTGAAAAAAAAACGCCACTTTTTGGCGCTTCGCTGCTCAAACAACGTTTCACTGATCAAATTTCGCTGAAATCAAAATGACGGTACATGTGTTTAGACCATGTGTAGCGATTTTAAGGCAAATCGGTGAAACGGCTAAGGAGGAGTCGCTTTCCAACCAACATCTGTGAAAATGACATTCTGTAGGGGGCGCTACTGCTGCGATTTGATGTTTTACACTTTCAGTTTACCCAAACCCAAAAGTTGAACAACCGATTCAAATTTGGTGCAAATCGGACTGTGTATGTGCAAACGGTGGCTTTATTGGACTACAATTGCGCCCCCTACAATATCAAATTTGTAGTCTCATACTAGGAAACACAAAATTAATAAAGTGTTTGCAAGAACAGAACTTGTGGCAAAATTTTGTAAGTTTTTGTGCATGTTCAGTGGGTCAAATATGACATCAAACAACAGCAAACTTGTTCTTTCCCAGGTTTTCCTGGGCTAGAACAAGTATAATTAAAGCCGCAAGCGGCGTCGAACGGCCCTCGCCGCACCGCGCGACTCCCTGCACCGCGCGCACTCCCCGCACCACGCCGCCCTGCACCACGCCGTCCCGCACCCACGCCGTCCCGCACCACGCCGTCCCGCACCACGCCGTCCCGCACCACGCCGTCCCGTACCAAGCCGCAACGCGCCGCTCCACAACGCCCCGCACTACGCCGCACCACACCGTACCACGCAGCACCGCTCAAAGGAGGTGGCGCCGCCGTGTGATGATTTGTTCCCGTAGTCATAGAAGATTGTTAGTCAAATTTGAATGAATATGATAAGTAGAGCTGGTTTGGCTCCCGATGTAAACTTTGGCTCAGTCTTTAGGGGGCGCTAATGGGCCAATTTCAAATATTTCACTTTCACCTGACCTAAACCCTGGAGTTGAACAATGGATTCAAGTTTAATGCAAATCAGACTTTGTTTGTGCAAACGGGAAAAAATTAATGTTGTCAAAAACGGCCAAAAAAACCCTCACATTTTGCCGCTTCGCTGCTCAAACAACGTTTCACTGATCAAAATTCCCTGAAGTCATTTTGAAGGTAAATGTGTTGAGATGATTTGGAACAATTTTGAGGCCAATCGGTGAAACGGCCGAGGAGGAGTCGCTTTCCAACCGACATGTATGAAAATGATTATTTTTCATTTTTCCATTTTGCAGTGAAATTTATGGGCTTTCTGTTTGTCAGAGGGCTTAGCCATAATAAAACAAGTTCAATGTCTTGACTTGAGGAACATGTGTTCCAAATTACATGGTTCTATGACAATTTTGACCTCGAACCCCTCCCATAGGCATTTTTAAATCGGCTGTTGTAGGTGGCGCTATAGAGCCAATTTCAAAATTTTAACTTTCAAATGACCTAGACCCAAGAGTTGAACCATGGATTTAAGTTTTGTGCAAATCAGACTTTGTTTGTCCAAACGGAAGCCATTTTTCTATTGTCAAAAACTGAAAAAAAATACGCCACTATTTGCCGCTCCGCTGCTCAAACAACGTTTCACTGATCATAAATCCCTGAGGTCATTTTGACGGTACATGTGTTGAGATGATGTGGAGCGATTTTGAGGCGAATAGGTGAAACGGCCGAGGCTAGTTTGATGTTTGTGTGAGGTGTACATTTGCAATGAATCTGGAGCGTTTGTCGTCGCCACGGCAACAGGGTAAAAAATAAGCCTTGGACCCTATTGACTTTTTGAATCAAGAGTGCAAAACAGATTTATGTGCAAAATTTCAAACATTTTGAAAAAACTAAATTTGAAAATGCCCATCTAAAACTTTGAAATAGTCTGTAGGGGGCGCTAATGTGTCAATGTGAATCATTTAACTTTCAAATGACCTAGACCCTAAAGTTGAACAATGTATTAAAGTTTTGTGCAAATCAGACTTTGTTTGTGCAAACGGGAGCAAATTTAATGTTGTCAAAAACGGCCAAAAAAAGGTCACATTTTGCCGCTCCGCTGCTCAAACAATGTTTCACTGATCAAAAATCCCTGAGGTCATTTTGAAGGTACATGTGTTGAGATGATGTGGAGCGAATTTGAGGCGAATCGGTGAAACGGCCGAGGAGGAGTCGCTTTCCAACCGACATGTATGAAAACTTTTGCTGTTCATTTTTCCATTTTCAGTGAAATTTATGGGCTTCCTGTTTGTCAGAGGGCGGAGCCATAATAATATTTTTTTCATGTCTTGACTCAAGGAACATGTGTACCAAATCTCATGTTTCTACGACAAACTTGACCTCCAAAAAGTCCCATAGGGGTATTATTTTGGCTGTTGTAGGTGGCGCTGTTCTGGCATTTTTTGAGTCCCATAAAAATAAACACCAAAATATCAAATTTTTCGCCAGGTCTGATTTTTGGGCCAAAATTAACAACTTTTCATGCATGTTCAGGGGGTCAAATTAAGGCTCAAAGTGCAGAAGAAAAAAGAAAGAAAGAAATAAATTAAAGCCGCAAGCGGCGTCGAACGGCCCTCGCCGCACCGCGCGACTCCCCACACCGCGCACACCCCCCGCACCAAGCCACCCCGCACCACGCCACCCTGCACCACGCCGTCCCGCATCACGCCGCCCCGCACCAAGCCGCAACGCGCCGCTCCACAACGCCCCGCACACTGCCCCGCACTACGCCGCACCACACCGTACCACGCAGCACCGCTCAAAGGAGGTGGCGCCGCCGTGTGATGATTTGTTGATTTGTTTGATTGTTAGTCAAATTGTAATGAATATGATAAGTAGAGCTGGTTTGGCTCCCCATGTCAACTTTGACTCAGTCTGTAGGGGGCGCTAATGAGCCAATTTAAAATATTTCACTTTCACCTGACCTAAACCCTGGAGTTGAACAATGGGTTCAAGTTTGATGCAAATCGGACTTTGTATGTGCAAACGGGAAAAAAATTTATGTTGTCAAAAACGGCAGAAAAAAACTTTCCATTTTGCCGCTCCGCTGCTCAAACAACGTTTCACTGATCACAATTCCCTGAAGTCATTTTGATGGTACATGTGTTGAGATAATGTGGAGCGATTTTGAGGCGAATCGGTGAAACGGCCGAGGCTGGTTTGATGTTTGTGTGAGGTGTACATTTGCAATGAATGGGGAGCGTTTCTTGTCGCCACGGCAACAGGGTAAAAAATAAGCCTTGGACCCAATTGACTTTTTGAATAAGTAGGGCAAAACAGATTTTTGTGCAAAATTTCAAACATTTTGAAAAAACTAAATTTGAAAATGCCCATCTAAAACTTTGAAATAGTCTGTAGGGGGCGCTAATGAGTCAATTGGAATCATTTAACTTTCAAATGACCTAGACCCTAGAGCTTAACAATGTATTAAAGTTTTGTGCAAATCAGACTTTGTTTGTGCAAACAGGAGCAAATTTAATGTTGTCATAAACGGCCAAAAAAAGGTCACATTTTGCCGCTCCGTTGCTCGAACAATGTTTCACTGATCAAAAATCCCTGAGGTCATTTTGAAGGTACATGTGTTGAGATGATGTGGAGCGATTTTGAGGCGAATCGGTGAAACGGCCGAGGAGGAGTCGCTTTCCAACCGACATGTATGAAAACTTTTGCTGTTCATTTTTCCATTTTGCAGTGAGATTTATGGGCTCCCTGTTTGTCAGAGGGCGGGGCCATAATAATATTTTTTTCTTGTCTTGACTTGAGCAACATGTGTACCAAATTTCATGTTTCTACGACAAACTTGACCTCCGAAAAGTCCCATAGGGGTATTATTTTGGCTGTTGTAGGTGGCGCTGTTCTGTCATTTTTTGAGTCCCATAAAAATAAACACCAAAATATCAAATTTTTCGCCAGGTCTGATTTTTGGGCCAAAATTAACAACTTTTCATGCATGTTCAGGGGGTCAAATTAAGGCTCAAAGTGCAGAAGAAAAAAGAAAGAAAGAAAGAAATAAATAAATTAAAGCCGCAAGCGGCGTCGAACGGCCCTCGCCGCACCGCGCGACTCCCCCGCACGCGCACCACCCCGTGACAAGCCACCCCGCACCACGCCGCCCTGCACCACGCCGTCCCCCATCACGCCGCCCCGCACCAAGCCACAACGCGCCGCTCCACAACGCCCCGCACTACGCCCCGCACTACGCCGCACCACACCGTACCTTGCAGCACCGCTTAAAGGAGTTGGCGCCGCCGTGTGATGATTTGTTTCCGTAGCCACAGAAGATTGTTAGTCAAATTGTAATGAATATGATAAGTAGAGCTGGTTTGGC